ATAATACTGAATGGGATTAATGGAAGGTTAGACCTTGTAAAGGAAATAGTTACTAAGCTCTGTAACAACAGAAATTAGGAAAACAAAAAGAGAAAAAAAGAATAGCAATTGGTCAACTTCAAATGGCTTAGTATTAATTATAATCCCCAACAATAGATTAAAGAATAGATGAGAGAATCTTAACAAACCACAACTAGAAGAAACACGAAACTACATCAGGCCATTTCACAATAAAACTTCCTAGAACCAGTGATACAGGGTGGAGAGGACTGGGGAGGGAACTGATAAGGAAGATGGACAGTAAGAATTAACAGACTGCCCTTTTAACAAGGAAAAGCAGAAGACTGTGGAGAAATAGGCTAAATTTACCTTACCACCCCAAAACAATAACAACGAAAACAAACAAAGGCACGAAACAATGGTTTTAAAGATGCAAGATGTCAAGAATAAAAAACGCCCATCTCTGGAGAAGAGACATATTCTCTCAGAGGTGAGTACCAGGAGGACAGCAGTTCATTGCCTCCAGAGTTCCAGATCCTGGCACAAGGAGACAGAACTGCAACAAAGTCCAGAGAGTTCAGAAAACAGTGCTGAGGACAGGTTTGACTTCACAGTCCCAAATAACGGTAGTGGAGAAAAGTTTGACAGAGACATCTGGAATGATGGAGAAGGTCCTCCAGGATTCCACGTTCAGGAAAGAAGCACCCACAAGGTATGAAGATCATATATGTATGATTATATATGAGGATATATATAACATGTGTGATTAAAAAAAAGTTTTAAAAAAATTTTAAAAATTGCTACAGCAAAAGACACATTGTGATTAATCCCTCTTGAAACACTCCCTCTCTCATCAAACACTGATATCTCATTGATCTTGTTTAGCTGTGCCGTTTTTTGCTACTTAGGAGTATTTTTATGAGGGCATTCACTAATTCTGATCGTACCTCATAAAGACACTCACGAAAGAAGACTTCTTGAACTGGCTTAGAAAATGGCACGGCGAACGGGGTCAGTGTGTTTGTAGCAAAGGGGAGAATTTTGGGAGATTAATGGCATTGTGTCTTTTATTTATTTATTTATTTATTTATTTGGTACTGGGGATCGAACTCACAACTGCGCGCTTACAAAGCAGGCGGTTATGCTGCTTACTATTTAGCTTACTAAATCTCCAGCCCCAGTTACAACTTTTTAAATTTAAACATTCACTGTACTTTTGGGTTACCCTTTGTCCATTTGGGGGTACTGCTTGGTTCTGCTAAGCCTAACAACTGTTTTTGTGAGAACTGCATTGAACATTTGGAAAATACTGACTCAATGCTACGGAGAATGTAGCTATAAACAAATATTTCTTAATGTTTCTTTCTCTTTTTTAAAAATTGAGACAGGATCTTGCAATGCAGTTCAGGCTGGCCTTGGACTCCTGGCAATCCTGGGATTACAAGCATGGGTCACCATGCCCGGTTTTATGTATTTTTTTTCCTAATAGCATTTTGAAATGGAAACTTTTTGTTATGAGATGCTTAGCAACATCCTCTGTCCCATATCTACCACAGCAACAGTACGGGAATCACAATGGAAAAAAAAAAAGAAAAAATGTCATCAGACATTACCAAATGTTCCTAAGGGGCAAAACTGTTGTGAGTTAAGAACCACTGCAATATAGACTAAGAACTACTCTGTACCTCTTGACAAATGTTAAGAGCAAGATCCGAAAGCAACATAGCTGTTACACATAACTGCCTCTCACAATAATCCTCAAGGTATTTTATAGTAACAAAAAAATCTAGCACCCAAAAAAAATACAGTGGACAGAATTAAAATAGTTCAGATATTAAAGAGAAAATATTAGTGAACTAGAAGGCACAGCAAAATAGACGAAAAAAGAATTTGAAGGAAAAAGGAAAAAGACATCACTGAGCCATGACACAATTTCAAGTGGCTTAAAGGGGTCAAGAAACAAGTTTGAGGAAATGTGGCTAAAAATGTTTCAAATATAATAAAAACCATAAACTCATATCTCTAAGAAGTTAAATGAACTACAAGCACCAAAAACGTGAAGACGAGAACACTAAGGAACATCATAATAAAATTGATCAATACCAGTAATAAGAGATTTAAAAAGCAGCAAGGGTTAGGGAGGGGTTAAACAAAAAGGGGAAAAAAGTAGAGACAGATTTCAAAGAACAATGCAAACGAGAAGGCAGTGGCACAGCACCTTTTATTTCTTCCCCCATCTTTACAAAACAAAACAAAAAAAAAACAAAACAAAACCTGTTAAACAACAGGAAGAATATTTCTGGCTCAAATGTCCCCCCACAAATAAAGGTGGAATAAAGATGTTTTCAAATACTAGAAAGCTGAAAGAATTTATTACATATAGATCCAAACACACACACACACACAAAAAATGTTAAAAGTATGCCCTAGAGACTGAAGGAAGATAATACTTGATAGAAATCTGATTCTAACCAGAAGGACTGAAGACTAAAGAGTAGAAACAGTAATTATGTAAGTAAATATGTACATTTTTTCTTAATACTGAAATCTCTTTAAAAGAAATGTGGCAATTCAAACAAAATGATAACATGCTTGGTACTTATAAATAGTATACAAATAAAATGTATGCTATTTGAACTATGTATTAACGAAGCTTGTGTTTGTTGTGCTATGATGCTGGGCATCAACACACAGTCTTGCGCATCTTAGCTAAGTGTTCTACCACTGAGCTACATCCCCAGCTCAAACAAAGCTGATTAAAAAAAAAAAAAACTAAAATCTTTTAAGAACTAAAATTTAACAGTGATATCATAAAGATCACGAAGAGGGAAATAAGTATAGGACTGTATAGTCCTTATTGTATACATGAAAGCACACAATAGCATTTAAAAACAAACAGTGAGGAGAGAAAGATATACACTAAACATCTGGCAACATGAGGTGGGGTGGTGAAGGAAAAAACAGAAAAAAAGGGGATAAAGAATAGGCAGAATAAATAGAATACAAATATCAACATGATGAACTGGAACCTAGCCATAACAATAGTCATATCTAATGGTAATGATATAAATATTCCTATTAAATGGTAAACACTGTCATGTTGGACATAAAAACAAGACCCAACTGTACAATGACCATAAGAAATGTACTTTAAAAATAAAGACATAAATAGGTTAGAAGTGAAAGGAAAGAAAAAGATATAACATGATATTAAGACTCAACAAAACAAAACAAAACAACCCCTCCCAGGTTGGCAATAAAAATAGCAGACACAGTATATTTCAAGCTCTGACCAGAGTATAGACTTACCTGACAATGTAAAAGAATACTCCTTTTACAAAAGTGCTGATTAGAAATAAAGAGCTAATAGATGCTATCATAGATCTAAATTGGAATCCACTTTGTTATTTCTTTTGGCTGAATGTATTAAGCAAATCTAAAAACACTCCAATTTTTCTTATTAATCTGACCAAAATTGAGCACTGTATGCTTTAGACAAAATTATACTTTTGTATAAATGATACTACCATAAAAGTTCTGTTCACCTGCACTAAGGTAGATGTGTCATAGTACATAACTGTTAAAACTGTAATTTGTCTACAAGTATCTATTCTTCCCATAAAAATTCTGCCCCCCAAAGTTGGCTAGATGCATTGTACTGTATGATCATTAAAATTATGAGGTTTTGTGCAAGTTGGCTCAAAATTCAGGATTCAAACACACTGCAACTACTAAATTTTTTCATCAGAATATATTGCTATTTTCACTCAACTTAAATAAATAATATACAGATACTGCATCAAACTTTACACCATGTGCTTTCTGAAAATCAGATTCTCAAACTTAAGATGGCCTGAAATTCTATATAAGTTTCTCCCAAACAACCATCCTAGAAAACATACTATGAAGACTTTAAAGGAAAATTAGATCATTTTAAGAAATGACATAAAATGCAAATAATAAAAGGAAAAAAGCTTCTACTTCTTGACATGTTTTTCTTGCATACTGGCAGGAGATAGCAAGACTTTCCATTTTCTAATCTTTCAATGTAATCATTTACCTGGCAGTTACAAAGGGGTAGGATTTGCTATACAGAGGAATCAATAGCAATATTGCACAGCCTACAGCAGTGCACATAAACTTGCTATTGGAGACATTAATACTTGACTGAAAGAAATATTTTCAATAAACATGTTTCTGTTGGATAATCAATTTTCTACATGTCTTACCAGCTGTTACACATAGCTCATGTAGCAGAATGAGCAACAGCTGTTATACCAAAACCATATTATTATACGCCTATGAGATGCTTTTAATTTTTCATAGGTATCTACTTATTTGCGAGCAACTATGTTTAACTGTTAAATAAAAACAAGGTAATCATGGGTGATTAATTCACTAGAATTTTTAGTACAATTCTATTTTAGAAATGAATTCTTAACCAATTATTTTTATGTCAGAAGATTTAATAATTCAAATTACATGCTGCCCTTATTCCAGGATTTAAGAGATTTGTCACGATCAATGTTTCTGAAATATTAAATTAAAAGGTGTCATGGTAATTACTATGGAATAAATAGCAATTAAGATTTTTAGGCAAATGAGCTCAAACTGTTTGCAGTGAATATTTATGTTACCAATATTTTTCATATAATGCATGCATCATTCATAACAAGTTGTCTAAAATTGTAAAATGCAAGTTTGTAGAGTTACTTCAAAAGATTCCAGGAAACTGATATAATTAAAACACAGAATTTTGTGCTTGCTTGAGAAATATTCAGGTATAATGTACCTAAAAAGAGATAAAGGCAGATAATATAAACTATCTCATCCATAGATAAACATCATATTCATGTTCTGTATTTGTAACAGGGAATCTAATAACATGTTGAAATAACCTATTGGTTAATAAAAGACAATTAGTTTAAAACAGGAATCAGCCCAAACTATATTCTGTAATGTTAATATGCCCCTAAATTGTAAATTAGGTAAATACTTACAGCTATATAACAAACTCTTGCTTTTTCTACCAACATCCAGTTTTTCTCCAGATCAAGGTGCTTTTCCTTTTTATAACAATTAGCAGCAGCAAGATTAGCAACAAGGGACCTAAAACACCCAAAGAAAAACTAATTAGATTTTATTTATATTATAGCCCAAGTTGTTAGCATTTTTACAGATTTATTCTAAAAGAGTTTTATTGATATTCTTCTGTAATTTTTTGGGTTTCCAACATTTTAAATTCCTCAAAATTGTCAGAGATTTAGTTTTGAAATTTTGTCAGATGTTTTAAATACAAAAAAATACTGATTTTGATTTAAGAACTTTCTGAGACACTTCCATGCTGTCTCTGAGATAAAAAGAGCCACAATCAGTAATGCTTCTAAATATCACCTGTGAAGCACTGTGAAGTTGTTTTTGATACTAAAATGAGATCTACTTTTAATATTTTAATCATTCAAAGACCAGTTAAGAAATAAAACTACTGAGCCTTCTGCAAAGGGAAATCTATATAACCCAAACACTTCACTTTTATTTATAGTGGAAAAATTCCTTTCTAAAAATATGATTATCATACTATAATTGACTATTTAATCTAATACTTTAAAAGTCAAGTATGGTATTAATTTTATAAAAGATATAAATGTACACCATACTAACTATGAGGAATTAATTTGAAAAGCACTACACGTAAGGGCTGGAATCAATTAGAATTACTTTTTAAGGCTGAAAACTGGCTGCTCTGAGTATGCATTCAAAATCCTGCTACAAGTGCCACCTAGATAGTTCAATTATAGCCCAACAATTAAATTTTTTTTTTTGTCTTTTTCCTTTTTTATTGGTACCGGGGATTGAACCCACGATTGCCTGCTTGCAAGGCAGATGCTTATGCCGCTGAGCTAAATCCCCAGCCCCCAATAATTAAATTTAAGTTAGAAGACTATGTACATTTCACATAAATAAATATACAATGTTTTCTTCTTTATTTTGACCTGGAATTTACAAAATTACTTGCCTATTTTTCTCCTTTTGTAATTAAGTAGTAATAATTATGGCTTATAAAAAAATGTCACTTCATCATTGTTGATGTAGGTAATGTTTATAGTTCTTCTACTTAAGAGAAAAATCAATTCTCTTCCAAAATGTATTTCCATTCATCCATGTGCCAATTTACTATCAACAATCTTTTTATGTTCAATTAAATTACAGAAAATGAAATATTAATATTTTTTCACATTGGATATTGAATTTACTCCTAATTTACAAAAACATTTTTGTAATCATGACTTGTGGAAAACTTTGATAAAAATGGTTATTAAATAAAACAAATGTGTCTGGTATCAGTTGTATACTTTGTTTTGATAATAAAACTACTGTTTGAATTCTGAGGTTTGGATAATGGAATAAAGTTATCAGGATATCTAAAACAAGTTATGAATTGTGTTATGTTCCAGGACTTGGATTAGTTAGAGAGTGTGAGTTTTCCCCCTGGTTTTGACTTCCCATATTATCTGAACAATACTGATCACCATAACCATAATATAAAGATACAATCTACTCTTCTGATATCTGGGACACCTAATCTTATCACAACTCTTCTTTAAATAGCAATTTAGCACATCAAAATAATTTTGTGCCTTTACCCTACTCTGAGTGGTTTTCAGAGGCAAAACTTGACCCATTTTTTATTAATGGGAAAATTGCACCTGTGGGTTAAGGTTTCTTTTAGGAAAACTGAGAAGGGCAAAAGTCTAAACAAGCATATTTCAATATTTGAAAAACGGATGGCTTAATTTATTGAAGTCTTAAAATCGTATATATTCTTTTACACATAAAAAGAGTTAAAGGTGTGAAAATGGCTTTGCAATCCTAATTATTTTTGAAAGTTATAGTGATATAATGACATACCCATATTAGTACCTTATGTCAGACTATCTATCTATCTATCTATCTATCTATCTATCTATCTATCTATCTGCTGGAGGTCAAAATAAAGGGAGTGAGAAAAAGGGTTAAGGTTCTGGATGAAAAAAAGGAGGAAAGAAAGGAACAAAAAGGAAATGGAATAGAGAAGACAAAGCATTTCAGACTACAAGGAATAAAAAATTTCCTAACTCTAAAGAGATCTCTGATGATTCTAATAGACATCCTAGCTAGGAAAGTTATTTTGATTTTCCCTTGCAAAGGACAAAAAACTTATGCTTCTATGAGGCTGGGGATTTAGCTCAGCGGCATAAATGCCTGCCTTGCAAATGTGTGATTGTGAGTTCGATCCCCGGTACCAATAAAAAATAAAAAAATAAATAAAATAAAATTCTACGAACTTATGCTTCTATGGTATTAATATTAGCAGTGCATGTACATACTAAGGGAATACCTGCATGTAGCTGCAAAAGGATAAATATCACCATGCATGGAAGGTTCTGAGACACAGAACCTTCACATGATGAAGAATGTCTTTATTAAGTAAAGCTGTTTAAAAACATACTTAGCTGTTTCTTGAGTGGTGCATTATCCATGAACCAAGTTGTTTAATATGGAAGGATGACTGTTTGTCAGAACTACATTAGCTGACCGAATTTGTAAGAATTACTTTACTTAATTCACGAAATTTAATTTCATGTTTCATATATGTAAAACACACACACAAGCATGAACACATATATGCATGGGTTTTAACATTCCAATCTCAGGTTATGGTGAAAAGACCAATCTCTGTAATGTGATTTTAGACAACAATTAGCTATATAGTAAGACACTGAGTAAAGCACTTTCTTTTCCTGAACTTAATTATAAATGGTAGACAGAGATTATACACTATAATTTAAAACTTTCATTCCTTTATCCCTCAAGAATTCAATAGCAAGTTTAACAAAAGTAACTGAAAAACACCAAGGAAAATAAAAGTGAAGACTAGACACAAAGAAGAGTTTACTGAACATTAACAGTGATTATAAACATGAAGTCTGAAATTCCAAATTCAGACTGGAATTCAGATGCCATGAGTGTCTACAGAGCCGATTCGCTCAGCGCTTTCCCATGGACGACACCAACCTACCTGTTGTCGCCAGTGATGCATGCAGCACAAGTTCCCGTTGGCTGCTCACTCTGCTCGTAGTAATGAGCGTCCACGTGGGCTTCGGCAGCTTTTTTTTTCAGGATCTCCCCAAATTTATCTATCCCAATGCAACCAAAAAATGTTGCCGCTTTGTGTGGCTGCTGAATCATCCACTGCAAAGAGGAACAAATGGTCAGAAAAATGGTACAGATAGCTAGCTCAGCATTCTGACATGGATAGAGATGTGGCCGTGAAAGAGATGTGTTGTGAGAAATGGAATTTCAATTCTGCACTACCCCTTATGATAACAGACTGGACAGCACCAACCATGCAAAATCTTATTTCACTACACTGTGGGAGAAAGAGAACAATGATTAAGGACTCAGACGTGAAAGGCACACAGCCCTTCAGTCAAATACTGGCTTGACAGAGGAAAATAAGACCAAGTGCCAATATAAGCAGTCAGTATTGTCATCAAGTCCCCAGGATCTACTTGGAAGACTATCTGGTTTCAAGCTTGCCTCTGGCACTTACGAGTTGTATGAGTAAGACTATCCTACTTCTGTAAAATGGGGCTATAATTATAAAATACTTCGTAAGATTGTTGAAAATTAATTGAAGTAATATATATTCATTGTTGAGATCAGTACCCAATACATAATAAAAGATATATTAGCTGCCATCAGGAAATAAATGTTGAAATTCCTCCATTACAAATCAATGACTACCCACACAAAATCAATCAAATAATGATCTCAAAAATGGATTAATAGAAATATTCTGCAGGTTTTGTTATACTTTCATTAAACATTTCAGCAGAGGAAACTGGCTGACATTCTGCCTATTTTTTATATCAGGGCACAGACTGATGTGAGAATTTTACCTTTTTTTTGGTGGTACCGGGGATTGAACTCATGACCACTGAGTTAAATCTCCAGCTTCTGAGAACTTTACTTTTGATAAGTGCTATTCACTCAAAAATCAGTCAATTTAAAAATCAAGAGTTTCTTTTAGAGACAAATAGAAGTCATGTTCATTCCTTCAGACACTAAGATTTTTAAGTTATTATTCCTCTGTTTACAAAAATGAGTCAGTTGTGCACGGGGCACATGTCTGCAATCCCATCACTTTGGGAGGTCGAGGCAAAAGGATTCAAGTTCCAGCCCCAGCCCAGACTGGGCAATTTAGCAATGTATGGAGACCCTAAGAGAAAGAAAAGAAAAGAAAAGAAAAAGAAAAAAGAGGGAGGGAGGGAGGAAGGGAGAGCGGGAGAGAGGGAGAGAGAGGGAGGGAGGGAGACAGAGAGAGAAAGCGGAAGGGAAAAAAAGAGCTACAGCTACGGATGTGGCTCCATGTGAAAGGTCCTGGGTTTGATCCCCAATACCGCCACCCAAACTTGCTTCCAGAATGCAATGTGTCACAATATTTAATCAATGGGGTTCTTATCATTTTGACATTCAATCACTAAACATTTAATACATGTCTAGTAAGCGATAAAAAGATGAAAACGACAATTATCTTAATACAATGTCACATCACTATATTTTCAGAGTCCCCGGGAAAGCGACTCAACCTCTTTATAACCTGGATTATGTGCCTTTTAGCTAAAATAAACTATCCAACTTCGTCCTGTTTACATACACATGGTATATCCTTTAAAGCCTCTCTAACTTCTGCTCTGGCTATGAGGTGAATCAGGGTCCAGAATGCCTTTGTACTAGAAAATAAAACCAAAGCGAAATAACTAGAGAATTTTCAGGCACTGGATAACAGGCAGGGCAGGACTGTGATCTCTGACAGGAGGGACAGGAGGTGAGCCTGACACTATGCAGGCCCTGCCAGGAGGCAGTTTCCAGGCAGTGGTGCAGGAAGAAGCAGCCCAGAGGCAGCCGGCCTTCTCACCCAAATGAAGAGACAGAGCTAAGTATTATTAGGACAGTCAGGGAACCAGAAACTATGAAAAAGAATTTCAGACAGGAATGAGCTGAAATCGTTTAATTTATCCTAGACGTTTAGCAGGATGCAACCTGCTTAAGGAACACATGAAATATAAATGAATCTATACAACTGCTCTAGAATTAAAAAGTGAGTCAAAGTCTCCGGATTCCACATCAATACACAAAAATCCAAAGTAAATGATCAATAATCATTGAAAATGAAAATTTTTAAAAATAGTATTTAAAATAGCATCAAAAACTATGTTAAGAAAAAACTTAAGCAAATACATGCAATAACTATACACAGAACAGTACAAAATACAGTTGAAGGAAAAAATCTGTGCGTGGAAAACTATTCTATATACATGGATTAGAAAACCCACTATTTTTAAAATTTTTGTTTTTTAAAATTTATTTTTAATTGACAATACTGTTAATATTTATGGGCTTAATATTTTTTAGATGTTAATTCTTTTCAAATTGATACATAAATTCAATGTAATTTGAATCAAAATTTCAATGGCTCTTCGAGGACATTAAAAAGCTAACTGTACAATCAATACTACAAAGAAAAGGAGGAAAAATAGTCCAAAGTTAGGAGGTGCAGGATTGTAACAGAAATTAAGCCTCAGTTTCTTCAGATAAAAATTATGGAGCTTGCAAGGATAGAGTATGAGAATTAGACTGACAAGACTTAACATCATTCTGCTTGATACAAGGAACAGTTATTACATTTGGATCACTGTTCTACAGAGAATGGAAGAACTCTACCTTTATCCAGTTAACCGTACTTAACTGGATAAAGGAAAACCAGAGACATAATTGGTAACCTCAAATAAATGAATTAGTTTAATTCAACTTAATAGAAACTGTGCACACAGACTGTTAGTAGACAACACTGAGAGGAGAGATTAATTATCCGTGAGGGGATAAGAAAAGGCTTCTAGAGATAAATCAAATTATGAGCTGGTCTCTGAAGGATAACTATGATTTATCAAAAAAAATGGTTAAAATAAGAAAAAAAGGCAGAAGTACACACCATAGCACACATTTCTTCTCTGTTTTAAGAATTTTATTGTGGTGCCCTAAGGCAGAAGAAATTCCATTTGTTAAGTAGTGAGTTCCAATCTGAAGTACAGTACTTACCAACTAGCAATTTAGTGTTTATTGAGCACAAAAAAAAATCCAAAATCTTGGAATCAGAGTGATTACCACTTTCATTTCTGGCTCCAACTTTAGTTTTCATAAAGAAACTGCCAAAACCCCACTTCTGCAAATTATATATGATGTCATGGAATGTTTCAATGTTTTATTTATATATATATATATATATATATATATAAAATATATTATACCCATATATAGGTAGTATAGTTAGGTAGGTATATATAATATAATATAATATTGTTACATAATATAATATTGAAATGTTCCATGGCATCATATGTAATATTAATACTTAATATTATATAGCAATAGATATTTATTATATATAACAGTATACTATTAAAACTAAGATAACTAGAACTAGAAGTTCATGCTGCGGTGGTAGATGTCACTGTCGCATCTGAAAGTTTACATATATTGTGGACTCCCTGAGGTTTGCCACAGCATCCCACTGGCCCTCAGGAATACAAAGATGGGGAAATGACAGTGTAGAGTTAGTAAAAACAATGAAAAAGAGCACTAGAAGAAAACAGGGGTATAATGACAGAGCAACCTAATGGGAAGGGTAAGCCTAGGATAGATAATTAAATTTCATCGTAAGAAATTTGGGCAGCATTCTGTAGGGAAAAGGAAGCATAGAAGTTTTTTGAGCAAGGGTGGAATTCTAAGAAATGATATTTATTAAGAGAAGTAACCAGGAAAAAAATTACAACTGAATTTAAGTAAGTACTGAACAAATGAGATATTAAGTTTCACACTGAGAATTTTTTCACATATGGAAAGATTTCGGCTAATATGTACTTCATCTTCCACATGAATGTCTTCTTCATCACCTAAATGCATCATTAAAGACAGTGTAAGTGGCAGTGATACTGAGGACCCAGTAACTTCTAACATAATACCACGCGCTTTAATTCGATTCATGGCTGAGCGATGAAGAATGGCACCTAAATAGTAAAATGTTTGCAAGACAAGCCAAAGACAGGGAACTTGACACCAGAAAACCAATGAGGCATTTAGGAAAACTGTGAAGCACAACTAAAAGAAATGAAATGTCAAAACTGGGAAACAGCAGCAAGCACACTGCACAGGGTGACGAGGAAATCAAAACTGAAGCAGGCTGTTTAGAAACACAGCACACAGCACGTCACATGTCAAACCTGTGGTCTACCTTTCAAAAATCTTACAATAAAGTGTTTTTAAAGGTTAGTTTTGTTACGTAACACATTAACTCCACGTTAAATGTAGCCCCAAACAATTCCTCATCACTCAAATAAAACGTGGGGGGCACAGGATGGATATGCCTGATAGTCTGAGTTTTTCCTCAGTAACTACTATACTCTGTCTCCTTCCTCACAAAACAATTCAATTTCCTCTGCTGGCAAGATTCCTATTAATAAAAGCTTCTTAACAATCCTTATAGTATCTCCAACAATGGTGTGTGTGTGTGTGTGTGTGTGTGTGTGTGTGTGTGTGTGTGATTTGAATCTTTTTCTTAGAACTGACTTTGGGAAACATGCATAGTAGAAAAAACATAAATTTTAGACTCAGATGTATGCAAATTTCTCTAGCCTTGTGTGGGCAAACAGCCTACTCTGTCACAAATTGCTTCTTGCAGAAATATTGCAAAGATCAAATAAGATAATACAAGAAAAATGCCTACAGCAATTGTTGCTACTGATGATAAGAGGGTACTACAAGAAACAACTGAGATAAGAGGAAAAAATATTTTAGAGTATCTTCATCCAATTCACTCTACTAACATTTCTGATCATCTGCTATTTGACATTAATGTAATTAGTAGTGGAGATAAAGCAGCTTGTCTCTAAATGTTCTCTTTAGGCTTCTTTCTTGTTCTTCCTTTAGTGTTCCTCAGGCCTGAATCTAAGAATTACCTGCTCTCTATATACAGTGCTTCTCTAGTCTGGTCTAGACTAGTTGGTCTAGTCTAGTCTAGTCTAGTCTGGTCTGCCCTAGTCAAATCTAATGTAATCTAATTTACTTCAGTGATTTCCGTGACCATTTGTATGATCAGACCTTTCACCTTTAATTTTAATTTAGATTTGTCA